GCAACCTCAAACTCCTGGGCTCAAGCGATCTTCCTACCTCAGCCTCCTGAGTAGCTGGGACTACAGCCATGTGCCACAGTGCCTGGCTAATTTTTCTGTTTTTAGTAAAGACAGGATCTTGCTCTTGCTCTTGCTCTTGCTCTTGCTCTTGCTCAGGCTGGTCTCGAACTCCTGAGCTCAAACAATCCTCCCGCCTCAACCTCCCAAACAGCTAGGATTATAGGCGTGAGCCACCGCGCCTGGCCTATAGTCCTTTCTAAGCCTCAGTTTTTCTCATCTGTAAAACGGGGAGCTACCTTATAAGGTAACTCTGCAGTTTAAATAATACAATTTATGAAAAAGATTAGCACATGCCTAATACAAAGTAAGTATCCAATAAATGTTGGCTGCGATTAAATGCTAAACAAATATCCTGCATTATTATTTTATTAATATTACTATTTGCTAGGCAATTGAGGAGCTAATGCAAGGGTGAAATAAAACAGCCCATGCTCTGCAACAGCTCCTCTGGCAGAGGAGACAGTAGCTCAGTAGCTAGGATTTCAGAGCTGGCAGACTGTGGGATGCTCATAAGTGACGCGTAATGGGCACGCAGAGGAGGGAGGGGGTCTGGGAGGGGGACGAGAGATTGGTCCTGGGTCTCAAGGATGAGTGGGATGCTGACAGGCAGGGAGGGCAGGCAACAGCGGGAGGAGACGCACAGACGGCGGGGCCGGGCTGCTGGGCCCAGTGCACTGTTAGGGTTTCTAGGAAGTTCCGGTCGTGCGTGCCCACAGCTTAGCGTCATCGCCGTGCTGTCTGCATGCTCAGAAAAGATTAACGTGACTCGTCTCCCTCTCTCGCAGCCCGCTCTCAAAAGACTTCTGGCATCGGGCGCCTGATGGTACATGTCATCGAAGCTACAGAATTAAAAGCCTGTAAACCAAATGGTAAATGCTGCTTTTATTCAACAGGTGTGGTAACTGTCCCACTCTTTGCTGGTGACTCTTCTGAACACTGAATCATGAGATGCTTTTTGTTTATTTATTTATTTTAGAGACATGGTCTTACTCTGTCACCTAGCCTGGAGTTCAGTGACATGATCATAGCTCACTGTAACCTTGAACTCCTGGGCTCAAGCGATCCTCCTGCCTCAGCCTCCTGAGTAGCTGGGACTGCAGGCATGAGTAACCGTGCCCATCCTCAGATGCTTTTTAAAAGTCTGCATGTCTAGCACCACCAAAATGGTCATAAGCTAGTTATTGCACCAATATGATCGCTGTGTTTCCCCATAACTACCAGCGCCTGCCTTCCTGAGCGCTTCTGCATCAAGAAAGCATGGGGAGGTTTTTTGTTTTTTTTTTTTTTTTTTTAACAGATGTTGTCTACATTTGTATATGGGGCGGTTTTGCTCTGCGGGGAACAGTCCTGGCCTTGGAGCTCACAGTCACTCCCTAGGTTGCTGCTGCTGCCAGTGTTGGGGACACAGAGACTGTGTTACTAGACCACAGGTGAACATGGGCCCCCAGGCAGTGGCTCCTGCTACCATGGTCTGTAGTGCAACTTCATTTTGGATCCTGCTTCTGCTCAAGGACGGCCCTGTGAGTCACTTCATTTTACCTACATGCGCCACGTGTGTCTGTGGTTTGTTTTGTTCAGGAAAGAGCAATCCATACTGCGAAATCAGCATGGGCTCCCAGAGCTACACCACCAGAACCATCCAGGACACGTTAAATCCCAAGTGGAATTTTAACTGCCAGTTCTTCATTAAGGATCTTTACCAAGATGTGCTGTGTCTCACCATGTTTGACAGAGACCAGTTTTCACCAGATGGTAAGTGTAACTTGGCTAGGAGACCTAGAGGTTTCCCTGGTTTCCTAGATCCTAGAGTCTGGATCCAGGGTGCCAAGCTGTATATATAGCCAGTGACACCTCAGGGAAATGACACAGGCCTGGGTCAGCTCACTTTGGCTGCTGCAAGTGGGTGCCCTTCCTCGGGGGTGGGGGCCCTGGTGTGTTTCGGGTCTCTGACCCCAGTTACGACCCACACACATGTCGTCAGCACCATGTTCCTGGTGCGTACTGAACGGTAGAACATTCTGAGACCAGAGAGGTTTCAATTCCAACTCGGCAGCTTCTGTCACACAAATCTGTTGTTATTCTACATGTTTCCATTCACAGTATCAAAGATCCATAAACCAAAAGAAGTTAGTTTGACTAAAATTTAGTTCTGGTTAAAGTTATAATTGAACTTAAAAGCCGTATCTAGAAAAATCCCTCTTGTTTGGTATTTGAAAGTTTTATGAATCCTATTTCAGACACTCTTCCTGCTGTAGTTTTTTTAAACAATTTTATGAAGAAGAAAGACTTCTGGTTCTCATATGATGTTTATTCACCAGATTTCCTGGGTCGTACTGAAGTCCCAGTGGCAAAAATTCGAACGGAGCAGGAAAGCAAAGGCCCTGTGACCCGCCGACTGCTGCTGCATGAGGTCCCCACCGGGGAGGTCTGGGTCCGCTTTGACCTGCAGCTCTTTGAGCAGAAGACCCTTCTGTAGGGAATCTGTGGGCGGCACCAGGGGACCTGCCTCCAAGACTGAGGCTGGAGAATGAGAGACGGCGCCTCCCGGGCTGAGGGAGCGTCATGCGGCTTCACCCGTCACAAAGCCACGCACGCTGGCACCTCTATTTTATTGCACACTAAATCGCTAGCGGTCTATGCAAACATCATCTTCCCTATAATAAACCAAAACCTATAGCACAGTGCCTTGTATTAGTGTTAACATGTTCAGCTGTGTTTAGATGCCAAGGTTTCCATTTTCAGGGCTATAAAAAGTATTATGTGGAAATGAGGCATCAAACTACCAGACGTTACCACTTGGTTGAATGTGTCCACTGTGGAGTGGTTTGGTGACACTGTGACCATTCCACGCCATGTGACCTCTGCCAGGTCACAGCCACTCAGGAGGGGGAGGGTTGGGGTGAAATGCTGCAGGCTCAGGGCTTGAGCAGCCTGACGCTGAAGTAGCACCTACTTGTGCACTGAACAAACACAGAAACTTGATCATTTTTTCCTGATTAGATTTTATCATTCTCTGCTAAGACAATATAGTTTGAAATATAAGGGAGAAAGCTTGATTTACTTTAAATACTGTGAACTCTAATAATGTGGAAAATATTTTTCAACTTTTAAGTTTCTGAAGTATAAATTATTTATGTAAATTCCTTGTTTTGCATATTTCATAGGACATGCATCTTTAAGCTTTATCATTGCCAATATGTACAGAAAGAGAATAAAAATGTAAGTTTATGAATGTAACTTCTTTTGAAAGTGACTGATCTACTTGATACATGATAAGCTCTTAAAAGGTAACTTCAGAGGTTGCTTTTAACAAAACCAAATTTCCTTTCCTGTGTAGTGGGAAAAACCAAAGATGGTGTGGGACGGGGGTTAGATGGGGTGGGATGAGTGGGAGGGGATTGGGAGACTTGGGGGCTCATCGTGACTCTGCCACCAGCTTGCTCTGGGACTTGGTGAATCTACCTCATGCTTCTGGGGCTTGGTTTCTTGAATGGCTGTAAGGGACGGTCTCTGGGGAGCTACACCTGACCCTGTGGAGTAGAAACCTCAGGGGTAACTTACAAGCAAAGAAATGCACAAGAGTTCAGTGACATCCTGCATGTCCTTCAGCCCCAGAGACCCCATCTTTCCCCCATCCCCTGTCCTGTGAAAGCCTCATCTACACCTGTCTGAGCTGCTTTTTGGCTTCTGAATTTTGAAATATGAAATTTGTTTTCAATACTGATAAAAATAAGGTCTTATACACTAAGTTCCTGGATTACTGAGTAAGACTGGGAAAAGATCGGTCCTTTGAAGGGATCGATCGGGCTGCAGGAGCCCTGATTTCTAAGGGAGCAGGTCTCCAGATGGCTGGGGCCCCGGGAAGGATTCAAATGTCCCAGTGCTCGGGCCTCCACCATAGCTGCAGTTTCTGTTTAAACATAATCTCTGGGCAAAGAAGGGATAGAAAACAGAATCAGTAAATTCAAATTTTAAAAACCCATCACTCATTCCAGATATTGATCCTGGGTGGGCACTGATTGGCTGAAACATAGACATAAAACAAGTAAGAGACATCACTCAACTTAAGAAAGCAAAACAACTGAACATATCACTTGCCTAAGGGAAAGCCTGGCTGGTCAGACACAGCCTCGCTGAGCAGAGCCAACTGTTCGCCATCCTGGGGTTGGGGACACCTGCTTGCTTACGGGGAAACCCTGGGCTGACCGATCAGGCATGTTCAAAACCAGCTCTGGGCGTACTGGGAACCTTAGCCACAGAACAATCCTCGTGCTCCCCGGACTGAGGGGACTGCAGTCCTCACTAGGATGGACTGTGGCTAGTGCCATTCCTCCACCTCTAGATAGGGCAGCTGCTTTGGGAGATTCAGGACAGAGAAGCCCGCAGGATCGGATGGAGCCAGACGACTTGTATGAACCGTGGAGGATGCCGAAGTCAGCGCACCAGCAACTCCCTCATCTCCTTCAACCCTGGAACGCAGACCTGCCCCTTGAGAAGTCACGTTCTTTCCCAGCTGAAATGTGAGCCTATTATGTGGAGGTTGGCTGCACCCTGAGTGTCCTCAGCTCCCCCAGGAAGGACTGAGAAGAGCGCTCAAGCATCTGGAAGTCTCTAAGGAGTCCCCAGCAAGTCCCTCCAGGGACTTTGCTCTCCATAGCTCCACCCTCTGAAAGGAGACCCAAATCTGGACCAATTCAACTGTCTTTACAGAGTCTGACAGTGAGTGAGGAGAAAGTGTGCCCTGGGGCTGTGAACGTGTGTTTTGGCACCAAAAGGCCTGACCCATGACAGAACACTGCCCTGAGCCAGTCACCGAGCCTCTCTGAGCACCAGCATTGGGAGACAATGGTACTATCTTGCTGTGAAAACTTTTCAATGAATACAAAATCCCTCACTCACACAGTTCTGGTTCACAGCAGGAGGGCAATAAACAGTAACTATTATTTGGGTATGTGTTGCAATTTATTTCCACTTCTGGGGAGAGAACACACATTTGCAGTATTCCAAGTGTTGCAGACACTGCAGACTCAACGCAAGCACGTGTTCTTAGAACCAAGCGTTCTTACAAACAGTGTCATTACAAACAGTGTCATTACAAACAGCTTGCTCAGCCACTCTGTGCAGGGAGGCCAGGTGCCTCCCCAGAACCTCTGCTGTCATCGCTCTTCTTTCCACATGCTGGGGCCCCTGTCTCTGGCGGCTGCCCCCGGGTGGCCAGGAGCGGGGTCTCTGCTGCCTGGTTCCTAAAACCTATTGACAGAAGAGAAGGGCTGAGTGCAGTGTTGGGATGAGGGGCTGACATGAGCAGAGAGGACCCTGCTGGCCCCACCCCACCCTCGGCCTCCTGCCAGGCAGAGACACCCCTTTCAGGAGGATTCCCAGACAGCCCTCCTGCCTCCCCTCTCTCTGTTTTCTGCAACTGTCAGAGGCTTTGTCTATCTTTGAACTCCACTCAGGGCTAACCTGGGTATGGTATGGCAGAGACGATGGGCTGTCCACAAAATGCTCCCCTGCCATTGTGTTCAGACTAGCCAGAGAATATTTTCCCCAGTACCCCTGTACCCTACAGTTAGGGACAGACATGTGACTGGGTCCCAGCCCATGGAATATCAACGGAAGTGACATTTGCTACCTTCAGCCTTGACCCACATACAGCCCCCCAGCACAAAGCTCATCTGTGGTCTCTTCCCTGTCCAGAGTGAGTTCCATGGGGCAACCTTGGGAGCCACACCTTGGCAGGGCACTATCTGTCCCCTGAAAGTGACATCCAGGTCCCACATTGACCACTTTTCTGAGTTTCTCATGCAAAGTTTCCCTGCCCAGGGCCCATCAGAGCAGCAGCACTGAGCCAAGGCAACCGAGGTTTCTCCTGCCCGCTCTGGCTCACTCCCTTCTCGGGCCACCGCCTCCTCTGCCCTCTGAGCCCATCTGAGAGGGTGCAGGGGGAGTGCTGTGGCAGTGGCTGGAACCAGTGGGTCTCTGGGCGTAGCAAATGCGGCACCTGCCCCCAGGCCTCTACTCACCACGCCCTTCTTTCCATCCCCTTTATTGGGGCTGAGCCTTGAGGAGTGGAACTGCCTTTCAAAAGCAGCCTGACTTAGGTCAGTAGTCTTTTTCTCCTTTCTCTTTTGGTTATTTTCCGCACAGATGAGCTTTTCAGTACTGCAAAGAAAAGTTGAAAATATTATTCCAACTCGGCACAAACTGAATTGTACCGCTCCATAATTTTGGAAAATTAATGATCTTAATACTCACTTTATGAAAAGGAAAGACTGACTGCACATCACTAGTGGCTGTCCCTCAATTTGTCTGCCCCACGGTCCCCATGAGGTAGGGACTGGCCTCTCGGTCCCTCAAGCAGCCTGGTTTTCCTCCTGGCTGTGTCTTCCATGACATACTGGTGCTTTCTAAGATTTCTAGCCCCTCTCCCCATTTGTTTTGAGAAGGATTCTGTTTTTGGTGATCAAACTGTCTCTGACTGATATAGCCAAAGTCCTTTTCTTATTTCATCAAACAGCCACATGAGGCCCCCTCTCAGAGGGTTCTGCCCTGGAGTGCCCAGCTATCTAGGGAAATAAGCCTTCTCTTGTCTTCCTTCATTTATTCATTCAACAAATCATTATTCATCCTCTACTATGTTCCAGCTAAGTCCTGGAACACCATGATAACCTCAAGGAGCTTGCTGGAGGAAAGGGAAGGAAAGGTGGTGGTGACGAAGAGTTCTATTTCCCTCTGATAACTGCCCCTCTTAGCTGCACTGGCAACCTGATGGCTCAGGGAATTATAATTGTTGACTTGTGGTTAATAAATATTTAATTTTTTGTTGTTATTTATTTATTTATTTCAGCATATTATGGGGAATAAATATTTCTTTTCTTCAGGGAGATGGGATTTTCAAGATGAAGCCAGAAAGAGTGGTAGGGACCAGGTAGTGCCTTATGTGTTATGTTGCGGCCCCTGGACTCTGTTGTAAAAGTTTCATGGAGGAGACCAGATTGAAGGAGCAAAGCCAGTGAGGTGTCACTGCCTTTGTGAAAACGAAGGCAGAGAAACTAGAGAGCCAAGATGAAGGAAACAAAGCAAAATAAAGCCTTTGTCTTCTTGGGGAATAGGAGTTATATAATAACTAATGTTTAAAAAAATGTTTGTTAAAATTGATAAACTATAAAATCAGAAATAGAACATCAAACTTCTAAATCACTAGGTGAAACAGAAACAAAGTCACTGTTTATTCCAACAAACTCAGGATGGGGGACAAAAAGGAAAGGAGCATAACAGGACTTCCACTTTTACATAGAATATAGAAGTTTACACATGCTAAAAGTCCTACAGCAATGAGTAGAAAACACTAAAATTTCCCCCCAAAATTAATAATTTTAAAGTCATTGGGTAGCTGTAGAAACAATTCCAGCGAGGGGAGAGCCCTTCAGTAAGGAGTTGACAATGTCTGGTTCTTTCCTCCTCCCACTCTGGGAGCATTTCAAGTGCCAGGTTCCAAGGTCAAGTACCAGGATAGAGACTGATTCCTCTCTGCTCCCAGTATCTTGGGTAGAGTTCTTCTCCTTGGGCCTGATTGATGTCTGGCAGTTGGACATTTAACCTTGTTTTTAACATCTCCCTCCCACTGATAGGTAAGTCAAGCAGTGCACTTGGTTCCCCAGTGGACGGCAAAAACTCCCCAGGCCCCTAAGTACACACAGCATTCCCCAAAACCTATTTGAAAAAAAGTGCCAAATAGAAATCTTAGAACTGCAAAATAAAATAACTGAAATTAAGAACTCAATGGATGGTTTAACAACATATTATTAGAGACAACTAAAGAGATAATAAAATATCTGGAATCAAATATAGACAAAAAAGACAGAAAATATACAAAAAATGGGGAAGAGACAGGATACAGTGAGAAAATCTAAAATATGTTTAACTAGAGTACCCAAAAGAGAGGAGAGGAGAATATGGCAGAGGTAACAGAGAAAATGACTGAGAACTTTCTGAAGCTAATTGAAGACATCAACCTATAGACATAAGAAGACTCATGAATTCCAAGTAGGATAGATAATATAAAGAAATCCACATCTAGAGCATCATATAAAACTACAGAAAATCAAAGACAACAAGAAAGTCTTTAAAGTATCCAGAGGAAAAAGACATGTTACCTTCAAAGGAACAATAGCAAGACAAGTAGCTGACTTCCAATTAAAAGAATAAAAGACAACAACATATATTTTGAAAGAAAGAAAATAACTGCCAACCTAGCATTCTTAGTCCTGTGAAAACATCCTTTCAGAATGAAGGTGAAATCTGAAAAGTCTACATACTGTATAATTCCAAAAAAAAAAAAAAAAACTGTATGATTCCCACTATATGACATCCTGTAAAAGGCAAAACTATGGAGACAGTAAAAAGATCAGTGGTTGCCAGGGGCTGGGGAGAGGGAGGGATGAATGGACAGAACACAGATGAGTTTTAGGGCAGTGGAACTATTCTGTATGATATAATAGTGGATATATGTCATTGTACATTTGTCAAAATGCATAGAATGTGCACCACCAAGAGTGAACCCTAATGTAAACCATGAACTTTGGGTGTGTAACGTCAATGTAGTTTCATCAATTATAACAAATGTACCACTGTGGTGCGGGATGTGGATAGCCGGGGTTATGTATGTGTGGGGACAGAGGGTATATGCAACTCTCTAAGTGCTTTCCACTCAATTTTGCTGTGAACATAAAATTTGCTGTGAACTTCATTTTATTAAGTAAAAAAAAAGAATGAACGTGAAATGCAGACATTTTAAAGCAAACAGAAACTGAGTCTTCATGAGCAGATGCACACTTAAGGAAACTGTAAGTTGTATTTCTTTGTTGTTTGTTTGTTTGTTGTGAGGTACATGACATGAGGCCTAGAATGTGCTCCAGAAGTGTGCATGAAAAAGGGAGAGTGGGGTAAAGAGAGAGAGAGAAAACAAGTATGGCAAAATGTTGACAGTTGTTGAACCTGGGTGACAGGTACATAGGAATCTTCTATATTCTCTCCATTCAATATATTTTGATTAAGAACCACTCCTTGCTGGGCATAGGGGTTCACACCTGTAATCTCAGCAACTTGGGAGGCTGAGGCAGGAGGATTACTTGAGCCCAAGAGTTCAAGGCTGCAGTGAGCTATGATTGTGCCACTGTACTCCAGCCTGGGCAATGAGCAATACCCTATCTCTTAAAAAACAAAACAACCCCAAAAAGAACCACTCCTTTACATGAAATAAAATAAGACCCAAATTAATGGAGAGATATATACCATATGCATGGATCAGAGGACTCAATATTGTAAAGATGTCAATTCTCCCCAAAGTACAGATTCAATGTACAGATTCAATGCAATTCAAATCAAAACCCCAAGTATGTGTTTGTTTTGGGATTTATGTATGTGTCTATATGAAACTTGAGCTAATTATAAAATTTATAGGAGGAATTATTCTATCAGGTACCAAAACTCATTAAAAAGCTATAGCAGGCTGGGCAGTGGCTCACGCCTGTAATCCTAGCACTCTGGGAGGCTGAGGCGGGAGTATTGCTCAAGGTCAGGAGTTCAAAGCAGCCTGAGCAAGAGCGAGACCCTGTCTCTACTATAAATAGAAAGAAATTAATTGGCCAACTAAAAACATATACATAAAAAAAAAATTAGCCAGGCATGGTGGTGCATGCCTGTAGTCCCAGCTACTAGGGAGGCTGAGGCAGGAGGATCGCTGGAGTCTAAGAGTTTGAGGTTGGTTGCTGTGAGCTAGGCTGACGCCATGGCACTCTAGCCCAGGCAACAAAGTGAGAATCTGTTTCAAAAAAAAAATAATAAAAAGCTATAGCAAACTAATAGACCAGAATAGAGAACCCAGAAATTAAGTACATATAAGGGTACTTAATTTGTATCAAAGGCTACAATGCAGAGCAGGAGGGAAATGATAATATTTTCAATAAATAGTATTGAGTAAAAAATAAAATTGGACCCCATACACAATTTACACAAAAAGCAATTCCAATTGGATTATAAAACTAAATTTGAAAAGCAAAACAATAAAACTATAAACCTTCTGGAAGAGACATTTTAATATATAATAGAATATATAAAAAACACTAATTATAAAGGAAAAGAAAGATAAATTGTACCATATTAAAATTAAGAATATCTATTCATCAAAAACGCCAGTAAGAAAAGTAAAAATGCAATCTCCAAAATAGGAAAAGATACTTACAGCACATATAAGTGAAAAGAGGTTTATAGTCAAAATATATGAGAAATATCTACAAATCAATAAGAAAGACAAACAACCCAATTAAAAAAAATGACAGAAGTGTTGAACAGGTACTTCTCAAATGAGGAAACCCGACAGCCAATAAAGATATTATGGGGGGCGGAGCAAGATGGCGGACGAATAACACCGCCAGACAGAGGGTCTCTGCAGAAAAGACAGATTCTAGCAGAAACTAGAGGAAAGAAGCAAGAAGACGAGCATACAGCGGACAAGGGCCGGAAGGAGGGGTACCTGAGACCCCGGGAGACTCCACGGGAGGAGGCTGCGGACAATCGTAATTGAGAACCAGTCAAAGACCAATTCCCTCACAATAGCAAAAGAAATAAAGTACCTAGAAATACTTAACAGAAGATAAATAGATCTACAGGAGAACTATGAAACAGACTGGAGGAAGAAATAGCAGAGTGATGTAAACGATGGAAATCATACCTGCTCGTGGATCGGCAGACTCAATATCATCAAATGTCTATACTACCCAAACTGATCTACAGATTCGAATTGCAAAATACCTATTAAATCCCATCAGCATTCTCACAGATAAAAAAAAATAATTTTACGCGTCGTATGGAACCAAAGAAGACCCCGATATCAAGAGCAATTCTTGGCAACAAAAACAAAATGGGAGCATAAATGCCAATACAAACTATGACTAACAAAGCGAGTAATTAAAACAATATGGTATGGCACAAAAAACAGAATATTGACCAGTGGAACAGATGTAGAAATCCTGATATAAAACCAATCCTCATATATCCATCTCATCTTTGACAAGAGCAGACAAAGAACATACGCTGGGAAAGAAATTTCTCTTCAATAGAATGGTGCTGGAAAACTGATAGCACCTGTAGAAGGCTAAAAC